GAAAAGTGGAAAATTACACGGACAAAAAATTTAAAAGATCCGATTTAATTCATCCTTCAAGAGAGGGAGATTGCTTGATGTCAGTCTTTCCGTGTAAACATGCATTTTCTGTTATTTAAACATTAAAGAAAAAATTGCACTAACTGCACCATAAATTATATAAAAAATGAGAAATAAATAAACTAGTGTTTTATTCAGTTATAAAAATGACTCGATTGATGTCTACTATAAAAATTTTGTTGCAAGTATTTTGAGTTTTTCACTCTTCCAAAAAAAAAAAAAAAAATTCCCTTGTAAAAATTAAAACATACCTTTTTCTTCGTCATCGATAGCTAAATATAAATATTGCACTTAGAGATAATCTAAATTTGTTATATTTTTTTTAAATAAAAATTGTTTTTGTTATTTCACTTTCATTTTTTTAACGAGGAATGTAAGAGTTGAGCTTTTGCAAGTGTTCCCAAACATATCACGTCCAGTCATTCAGAATAACTTGCAAAAAAAGCTATAACGATTAAACATGCGATACCTACTGGTTGAGGCATTTGTTACAAAGGAAAAAAATGTCTTGGGGAGTACGGAAATGTGTGTCAAAAAAAAAAAAAGTGGTCTATCAACAAAACAAAAAGCTTAATCGTGACTCACACGTCCTTATTCTAATAAAAATAATAGACACATGCAAAATCTCTCAATTCATGATAAACCAACTTGGTTTTTATTTTTAAGGTTAAAAGCCTATAGAAATTTCCGTAATGTTTATATATCGCCATTAATTGACAAACGTAATAATTACGATGACGACAAAGCGCGGAGAGAGAGAATGAGCAAGTTAACACCTGCATGACGCGAGCGTATAGAACATAGGTACATTATGTAGGAAAAAAAAAAAAGGAAAAAAAGAATTACAAAGGAGAACCTTCGTCTTCTCCTTTCTCCTTGGCCTCCTGTTTCTCTTATTACTCCCACCTACGCCCTGCAACGCTCCCCTCTGATCTGCTCTTCTTTCACGTATACGCATGTATGTATTCACTATACAGTTTGACCAAAAGCAAAAGAAAACACAAAAGAGAGGACGGAGAGGAGAGAGAGAGAGAGAGAGAGAGAGAGAGAGAGTTGTTATTTAATTTTTCTCGAAATTGCGTCAAGAATAAGCTCAAAGCACTCTGCAATCGTCGGACTATGAAGGCATGCAAGTATTTAATGATAAATAATCATTCATCACGAAATTAATTGCATGATGCACGATCGATCGAACAGCTGAGAAAGTATATATTATATACTATGGCAAAGACGACACTGGATTGATGAATGCAGGAAAACAAGTGCAAACGAAGCAACGTGAAACACTGAATGAGTAGGTAAGTAAGTATACGGAAGGGAAGGAGGGAAGAAACTGCAGCACGTAAACATGTAAATCCCTTTTGCCTTTTGTTAATGCAATTACGAGAAAGTAGGTACACATGAGTACTTATACGTCATAGCCTCGTACCTTGAATATTCAAATGTCACACTCGGAACGTCCTTCGCTTTTCCACTTAGTCTAAAGAAAAAAAAAATAAATAAAAAATAACTAAAATCAACAAGCATCAAGATCCGCTTGGTTGTACTCGTTTAGCACAAGTTAAACAATAACCAATACTCGGAACACATGCACATTACAATATATATGCATAATATATATTTGTTTCTGTGACTCTAAAAAGTCCTATGTACGATATAATTAAACGCTTACACAATACATCAAAAGTACAAAAAAATGTTGGCATAAGCGCAAAGTGTTAAACGAACGAAAGTCGTCGTTCGTCATTCAATTTTGCCCGACCAGCATTTCATGCTGCACCAAATCCAGGATGGGCTCACGCCAATAGGAGAAGTTGCTGAACTCGTCGGCTACGTCCTCCCGTATTGCCGGGAACACATGATCCACAATATAACTCATGTTTGAATATCTGGTAACAGATAATAAAAGAAAACATTTTTTTTATTGTATCGATCTTTTTGGCTTCATTGATTATATTAGTTCAATCTCGAGATTAAATTTTTAAGCTCGACCAATGTATTGGAGCGCTTTATTATTTTCAGGTTTAATAGCCAAATATTAAACTTCAAATATTTATAAACCTGAATTATTTAATCAAGAGATCAACAAGTTAAAGCGTTTAAACATGTTAACATTTGTGATACGGAGAATCGGTGCATGCTTTAAGCACATTAGTGTTGATGTAAGCTTTTTTTGTTAATTGACGACGATAAATAATCTTTTGGGCAGGGAATCTCCTTATAAAGGAGTTTTATAAATGAAGAACATTTGAGCAACGATATGTGTGCAGACAGAGCAGTTTCACAAAAAATCTCTAAGTTTTTAGAGGATCATCACAATATGCAAACAAGATGCACTTGATGAAATCATTCACTCGATTACGCACTTATGTACAACACGAATTCACTCATACTTATTTTTCAAAGTATTTTGGATAGTTTAGTGAGTATTAATAAATGAATGAGGAGATCATTAATAGACATACTTAGTTCAATCGATCTTCGATTTGAGAAGATAAAAAAAAAGATGAATGATCAGCAAGGAATTCCAATTTCTTGGGAACTTAAACCTACAGTTATAGATTTCAATATGCAGATATAAACAGTTGTTGATTTTGTAGAAGTGGTGGGAACAAGTCATCCACAATATAACTTTGAGAGCAGTAGCTGTAATCATATATAAATAAAACTCGGATTTTTAAGAGGAAACTAGTTTTTTTTGCGAATATTAAAGCATCGAATCTTGTTTTTTTTTTTTCCATCATAATTTTTCTATTAATTTAACATCTTTCAAACTAAGTTGCAAAATTCCACAACAACTCTAATGTGCCACACGATAAAAAGATACTTATGAGTTTTTCGATAGAAATATTTCATCAGTGATACTCCACTTGAGTTGCTATAAGAATTATAATAAAGTTTATACTTACGTCGACTGGAAGGTTTGAGTCAGTTCATGTTTCAATTCGCCACGATGATTAATCGTGAATATCCGAGTCGTCGGAATACCTACAGCTCTATATGCCCAAACATCCTAAAACCACAAAGAGCATTAATGATTTTCATTTTTATGCGAATTCTTGTGAAATGAATCTTCAACACTTACATTGATCCGATTGCCATACCCAGCATAGAATGGCTGAGAGCCGTCGGGAAAGAGTGCTTTGATGTCACTTAGACACGAGATCTTGAACTGTTCGGGCTTCTTTTCGATAACTTCGCGATGGAATGCAGAGATCAGACTTGTTGGATTGAGCAGAAGTGGTCCATCGGGAAGAGAAAGATCATCCTGCCGAATACTCTTGAGATATTCGCGTGTCACTCGAGCTTGACCGATAGCTCTGGCCGAGAGATAAAGAAGCTTGTAGCCGTTGTTTTTGATCTTTGTAAAGAGCTGTGCGACACCCGATTGGGCCCAGTCTTTACCAACTATTGGTAGTATGTGTCCAAGAACGTCGGACTTGGTGATTGTACCATCGATGTCCGAAATGACGATCTTGTCATCCCACTTCCACTTGTAGATGAAGCATTTACATCGGGTAGTTCCTTGGTAAGCTGTTGTCACGCTGAATACACACTCGTTCGTACCCTCTTTTAAGTTTAGACTAGCCTATGATTAATTAATGAATATTAGAGAAATATACAACATAATTTCCAGTATCAGTAGTCATCAAATAAATCGTAAAGTTACAATTTGTTCGGATGATAGCCTTAAAGTTTTTCTGTAGCTCGGCGTGCCTTCTCTCTTAGGGATGGGTGTAGCGATCGAGGTAGCAGACAGATTGCTCGAGTTGTTAGAAACAGATGGAATGTCGATTCCGGAGTTATCACATGGCTGCTGCTGGTCCTCGTCCGAGTCATCTTCCTCATTGCCGGCGCAGTAACCCTCGCGATCCATTTCTTTGTTGATCAAGCAGTTTTGCTGCTCGGATTTATTATCATCGACTGCGTCGCTAAAACTAACGAGTGACTGACTAGTTTCTATGCTGTCTAGACTGGTATTCATCTGCTCATTCAACGAGGAGTCCTTGTTACCCTCATCACTAATCACCAAAGCCAATTGTTAATAGAGAAAAATATTTATACTTTGAAGAAAACAAAAAAGTTGAAAAAAAAAACTTACTTAATAATAATGGTAGTCTTGTAACTTTCAGTGCCATCTTCCTTGGAAGCAACTACCGATTCACTCTGGACGATTTCAACAGCGTTGTCGACTAAATATCATATTATTTTTATAATCACGATAAAATGTAAAATAATAATCTTCTTCAAAGAAACTTACGATCGGACAACTTTTTAACAGGTTGACTAGATCTTCTCCAAGTGAACCAGGAACTGTAACCACCAGATATGCCTCTTCCATTGCTTCTATCGATTTTACTGTCGCTAGCCGACCTCTTCCTATCCTCGTAAAAATTCGTGAGTACATCGTGCGGTAAATGCTTTTGAAAGGTGGTATAGGTCATAACGACAGCACAGGCGGATCCCCAGTTGTAGTATTTGCCATTAATTTTAACGACGAGATTTGGATTCTCGAACAACTTGGCATCGGAACATACGTCCTCAAAACGAACGGCATGACGTTGGAACAGCTCGTCGCTGGGCTCAGCATCGTTGGCCGAGTCGAGGTTGCCGCATAGAGACAGGGAAACCTCGAGACTCGGCTCAAAGTGCTTGGACGATGACTCGTCAAAGTCACTGTCCAGCGATTTAGGACCACCAATCGCTCCCTCTACGCTGTTCGGACTTTGAGGCAGTGACGGCCCGTTGCCAGATTCTGTATCTTCTTCATCGGCAGTTTTTTCTGTCAAAGCAAAGATTCATCCGTTAATAGAGGTCGTTGATTCGATCGTTGACAGATGATAGCTGTTTTAATTATCAATGAAAACGACTGATATTATGAAAGCACGAATTCAGAAAGATTTTCAAAAGCTGCACACAACTGCAAGCAAACAATTAAAATGTAAAAAACTGATTAAAAAATAAAAGCAAAAAAACGAAATAAAAAAAAAAGCAGTGATTGATGAAAGGATGGCCCAAGCATACAAGGGAACCGGAATCCGGGAGGAAATAAAAAGGTGAATATATGTAAGTGAAAAAGAAAAACCTGAGGTTGACCTGTCAAAAAGAGTGGGGAAAAAAGGGGAACCTGGAAAGAGCGAATGGGCAAAATTTGTGATACCTTTGTTAACGTTACCTCCCGTTACTCCACGATGGGACGAAGGAAAGTAGAGCGCGGCGACTTCCGGGTCCAGCTCGTCGGCATTCAAATCGCTCAGATAAATGCCCTCGGACTCCGGGTTATGCCTGACGCGCGACGTTTTCTTCATAAACGAGAACATTCCGCCAAGCATGGAGCGACGTGCATCAGCTGCTGCGGGTATCATTTTTTTGTTTCGTTTTTGTTTGAACAAGCAAGGTAGTTTTAAATGATAATGTGAGGAAGTCTGTGAATGCGGTCGACGGTGCTTTTTCTTTTTTGTTTTGTGTTTATTCGTTTTTTTGCTGAGCTTTTGCTTTGTACGCTATCGTGCTCTTTGCGTAAATTGATTTTTATTTTTTTCTTTTCTTTATGTTTTGTTATCAGACATAAAAAGAATCGCCAAAGTAAAATACAGAGAAAGAGTTGCAGTAGAACATGTGATGATTTTTTTTAAAGTAAATAGTTTTGAGAGAGCATTAAAGTTTCATTATACCAACTCATCTCTTAACAAGATATCCCACTAACGGAAATAAAATTTTTAATTACGACTCGGTAAATTGTTTCAAAATCTCAAGTTGGTATAATCAGTTTACCCTTGTTCGTAACTTTAACGTCCCTCCCCCGAATGATAACTTTACAACTACAGTGATACATACTTTCATTGCTGGATGCGGTTGCGTCTACCGGGTTCAACGGCCTTCCGTGAGCATCGAGAGTTCCGTCGTGCGGTGGACTAGGCAGCTCGCCCCATCTCCAGCTCTGTCCTTTGTCTTCCTGAGCCTTGCTCTCCTGTGTGATTTTGTGCACCTCGAACTCGGTGTCGGATTGCACAGGCGAGCTTAGCCTTGATTCTTTGTTTCTGCGAGAAAATAAAAATTTTCAAATAATTTACGTATCAAACTTTAAAATCAACTAAAAAGAGAAAGTCAATTTACGTTGTGGTGATTTCGGTATCGCTAAAGAAGTGGAAGTCAGTTGACGCGTGAATGACGTTGATTTTATTCAACTGTTTCTGCTCGGGAATGTTGCTTATTTCATCCTTAGATGCAGCTTTTGATTCCTGTGGAAAGCAATTATAATTGATGACTATAGAATAACTGTCAGTTAATTGACTATCATTTTTGCAATTAACCCCGTAGTACTTACAGCATCATCTGGATAAACTTTCTCTATTTCGATCGCAGGTAGAACCTCGATCGTTTTTGCCTGATTACTATTATTAGCACAAGTCGTTTCTACATTACTGTTAGCGCTAATTTTTCTCTGCATGCCTTTCCGTTTCATCGTGCTCTTTCTCTTCCTCTTTCTTTTCGAGCTGTTGCTGTTACTTTTGGTTTCATCAGTAGTAGATTCATCCTTGGACGTACGCTTATCGGAAGACGTTGACGAAGCTGATAGGGGTATGTGACTTGCGAGTGTCGATTTCTCATCCAACTTGTTTTGACCGTCGAATTTATAGCTGGGATTCGTTTCATTTATCGGCCGAAAATCGTTGTTGACCACGCTGATCTTGCGAATGCGTTCCGATGAAGTGACGGCAACAAAAGATTTAGGGTTTTTGACAAACGGAGTTTGTGGTTTTTCGTCCGGAGTCACGCCGTCCATGTCAAAGATTTCCTCGTCATCGTTGAAACGCAACGACTTGTCCCTATCATCGTCTTCCTCCTCCTCAGCTTCTTCATCATCATCTTCAGCAGCCTCCATACTCTTCTTAAAAGACAGCGTTGGTTCGTCTTTCTTCCAGTCACTCAACAGTGCCTTTTCAAAGCTCTGCCTCTGTTCTGCCGGGAGTTCTGGAAAGTTTTCTTTAAATAGTCTCTCTTTATCCTCCGTCTTGAGAGCCGAATACTGCTCGCTGATCATACGCTGTTTCTGAACGGTAGAAATCGATCCGTAATACTCTTGGAATATCTTGTCTCTCTCCTCAGTAGTCAGAGAAGCAATCTGGAGCCATTTATCACGCTGCTCCAAAGGAAGATCTGAGAAATGTTCTATGAGGAAACTTTCTCTTTGGTCCGGAGGCAAAGCAGACATTTGTTCCCACTTTTCGCGCTCAATAGACATTACTGAATCTCGGAGAATTTTTTCATGCTGCTCTTGAGGTAGATCAGACAAAACGTTAAATCTAAAAAGTAAAAAAAAATGAGCCTTTCAAACTGTAACCTTTGTCTACTATGAACCATTGATTGAAAGTTGTGTCAGATAATTTACCTTCTATTACCAAAACATTCAACGTCATTGGGGATGGGCGAACAAGCCAAATAAGGTGGTATATCGGCATCACTGGGTGAGCCATCAATTCCTGGCACTTCTTCAACAAAGAATGCTTCCCCAGAGTCACCAAGTTTCATGTGAATCTGCCTGGGCTCAGCATTTATTTCAATATCAACCACCTTTTCTCTGGAGCGCAGTACACCAAGCTTCCCAAAGCGCACGTGGAATGGGGAACAGGTGTACGAGCCATCAGGCTGTTGCACCACCACGACATCAATGGCTCCAGTGAGTGTAGCTGCATTGATCTCATTGTAGAAGTCCCGGAAGTTGCTGATGAACTTTCCAATGTAGTTCATGCTGTTATACATCTTATATTGGCCAAGTTTCCCGTTCCAAGTCTTGAGCCCCAAGACCAATTGTATACAGGTGTGGTCTTTTTCAAGACCACACTTTTAGAAATACACCGACCCTCGCAACCAGTCTTTTATTTGCCTATAACAGACGTAAATTTTTTTTGTTTTTTGTTAATTGTATTATTTTTCTGTGATTTGTTTGATGCTATCCCGATCTTTTATATAATCAAAAGTTTAAAAAATTAAATTGCCAATTAGATAAAATCAATTTATATATTTGCAACGAAAATTTCAGTCAACAAATTTGTTTACCCGGTATTTGGAACATTCTCAATTAGTTTAAAAACTACTCAATGTCAACAATACATTTTTTAACAAAGCCATGGTTCAACAAATCCGGTTTAAAACTCGACTCCTCTTCTCTTCGCTCCTTTTAAAATTATCGATTTTCCCCGCAACTAGCAGACGACGACTTTTTCGATGTGCGCGCCTCTGTCACATATATTGTGGAGCTCTCTTGATTTTATATCGTAATTTTATACCTTTATAATTATTTCGACACATTTATTAAGTATACCTATAAATTACACACATCACGTGTGTATTCATTTCTCATGTCATCGCAACCATACATGACCTATCAAGAGCAAGTTGTACAACCTAAACGTTCTCAAATTTTCGCATCGGAGGATGTTTTTTTAATAAAAAAAAAAAAAAAAAAAAAAAAAAAAAAAAAAAAAAAAAAAAAA